TGAAGAAGCTAAGTTTATGGCTTTAGGGTTTCAGGACTACGAGATTAGGGTTTGGGTTAAGCCCCTAAACCCTAAACCCTTAACCCTGAACCCTAAACCCTAACCGAGATCGATTGCCCGGTGTGCATGGAGCCGCTCGCGCTCCTTGGCGCTATCTGATGTCTGCTCGGCGTTAAGGACGCCTAGGTAAGATTCACCCCGAATCATTCAGGGCTTACGTTTGGGGAAGGAGGTAGCGGGACTTCTACACAGTGGATCCTGAACAATAGAGAGCCCCAGGAAGGTACCCTCAATATTCAGAAGAGTACTTTTGAAACAAACCCCCTAAACCCTAAACCCTAAACCCTAAACCAAACCTGTGTTTCGAGATCGGTTGTAGACTTTGAGGCACGGGGCTTGAAGTTGGGTCCTACGGCCTCGGGGCTCCTGGGAGTTGTGCGTATTTGGGTATTTGGGCTTCGGGGTTCTGGGTTTAGGGTTTAGGGTTTTAGGGGGCTTAAATGTGACCTTTTGGGTTTCTTGCCTCGGGGATCTGGAGTTTATGAGTTGAGGATTTGCAGACGACTTCTTGGTCGCGAGATTTAGAGCCTCACGTTTCGAATTGTGTTTGTGTCTTTTTGGAAGGGCGGGCTTACCCATAGGCCCCATAGTGGTTCCTTTTGGGGATTACATTATAGGGTTTTATACCATGAACCCCCCAAAAAAGGGAACTACTATGGGGCCTTATGGGTAAAGCCTCAAACACGACACGCTGAGAGCTGCCCTCCCCAGGCCCCCACAACCTTAAACCCTAAACCCTAAACCCTAAACCCTAAACCCTAAACCACAACCTTAGCCCGAAACTCCTAGGTGCTGTGGGATTTTTCTCAACCCCTAGACTCCTCACACACACACATCCTACATGTTATTCCTATATTATATATATATATACACACAAACTATATATAATAGTAATAATAATGATAATGATAATAATGATAAGGATGATAACGATAATAATAACAAACCACAAAAACCCTGCTCTGCCTATTCTGGCTCCTATTTTATATCCTGATAGTAACACTTATGGAACCTCTTGGCGAAATCATGATTACAGAAGCCTACCCCCATATTTCTAAAGCCGCTAGAATACTCTGTTCCTGAACTCCACACCTTGTTCTTCTGCACAAAGGCCTCCAATCGCACTCTGCGTTCAAGGCCACGCGTTCCATGCAGCTGGGCCAAAAACACGAAAGCCTTGATTAGGTTCGGACAGAGAGTTCGAGTTGAGGGTTCAGGGTTGAACCCAAGGGTCCTAGGTACTGCTATGGGGGATACTTTCCCGAATCATAAGATTTATTCCTAATGTTAGCAACCCTACGTTCTACTATGTAGGTACTTAGGACCCTTTGGGGAAAGCATAGGGTGGAGGATCCTGGGGAAGCAGCCGCGGGGAAACTGGTTTGATATAGGGGCCTTAGTTTTTAGAATAGGGTTTTGGGGCCCATTGTACTATAGATATAGTGAGGAATAAGGAACCCCAAAATCGTATGAATCCCAAAACAGTATTGGTACTTGTTTAGGCCCCTACATCAGGTTTTGGGTTACGGTGACGAGCACTTTCCATTGGCCTGAAGGTGTCCCGTGCCTGGCTCAAGCAAGGCTCATTAAACGATATTGTAGGCCTCCTTGGGTAATGAGGCTTGACAATGAATTCCTAATCCAGGGGCATTTAGCTCCTTGATGAGCATTTAGGAAAAGGACTGCAGCTATGCAAGGCAGGGTTGAGGGTTGTGAAGCAAAGCCAGCTGTCAGTCTCATGTTTCTGTGGTCCACGTTGCTGAGATCAGACGACCCTTGAGATTCCAGGACCACGAAAGCAGCTTTGAAGAGAGAGATCTCTGCCTCAGGAGTTCTGCTTGCAGCGGACCTTCGCAGCGGCACACCAGGCAGGATTACAAGTTGCATGTTCGGGTCTGCATTCCTGATGGTTTTAAGAAGAGGACGATGATGCTACCTGTAGTTTTGTTTCAGCTGTCCTGCTGCCGTCAGACTTGATGCTTGTAGTACTTCAGCCGGTAGGACTGCTACTGCTAATACTCTCCGCCCCAAAAAACGGAGCACCAGCACGGCTACTTCGGAGAACTGGCATCCTGATTAAATCCGGGTATGTCGATAGCGACGATGAGGACAGCGACGATGGCGACGACAAGGACGGACGACTTCAACTTCTGATGCTGATGACAAACATATTCAATCAGTACACATCTTGGCTACTCACAGTGGTTTCTGATATTGAAGCGAAGGAGACGAACATAGACGAACGATCCTGAAGGTAGGAGTAGTACTCATAATCAGACTTGCAGTCAGGATGATAACGAGGGACAACCAGCATTGCGAATATTAGCATCGTGTTGTTTTCTCGTCATGTTTATCATTTTTGTTACCCTGAAGCCTAAAGCCTAAGCTGCACGGTCAATCAGCCTCGCAGACCATGTGCCCGGTGTGCCGCGTCCCGGTGACGACGCCCGGTCGTCTTGGCCGCGACATCGAAGCTTTGCTGTTTCCATCGTGAAAAGCACCGGCTGGGGCGCAGTGAATGGCGAAATTAGGGTCCAGGGTTTGGAGGGCTCGGAAATTGCACAAAAATTAAAATCAGGAAGACCTTGAGATTGTTTTGGTGGGGTGCATGACATTCAGGATCTTTGTTCGTCATTTGTGACTAGAGGGACGAGGGAAGGTTACACAGGGACGCTTCCGGTAATGAGAGCAAAGACCAGTCGGAAGAGAGCATCAGCATCTAAGGTTCACATCGAGTGGCGCAGGGGGTTAGTGTGCAAACTCGGGTCCCGAAATCGTAGACCCTACACAACAGGAGCGGAAAGCTGAAATCCATCTTCAAAAGCAAAGCCTGCCCTTCAGAAAAGAAAATGAACTCACATAGTAAGCACGAACTACATGTTGAAGTCTAGACCTTCGAAGCCGAAACCACCGCCGGGCTTCTTGCGAAGCCAAAGCTGATCGTTATGTTGGAACCGGGGCCCCTCACCTACAGAATACCCACAACTTCCCACTATCCCCAAAGTTCTAAACCCTCGATCTAATAACCCTGAAAAAAACCCTGAACCCTAAACCCTCGATCTAATAACCCGACAAAATCCTATACCCTCAACCCCCAAAACTCCAAAAGACCTTAGCCGAAATCCTTTGATTTCTCACCTGTAAACCCAGAGTTCTCAAGCTTGCCAAGGGGTCGCCGGGGCTCCTTCCTGCTGAAGCCTCTGTAATATGATATTACTGGAATAATACGAAACTAGTACTATATTAATACCCTAATAATACGATAATAATACCATAATCATACTTTAATAATACTATAATATACTATTCTATCATTTTATGTATTATACTATGTTACTATACTATAATATACTGAGGCTTCGCCCCATCAGGCCTTATACATCCTGAACCCTAGACCTTCCACTCTACACCCCAAGCCCTCAACCCGAAATCCTCAGCCCCAACCTCTTCGGGGTTTAGGGTTTGGGGCTACCCATAGGCCCCATAGTAGTTCCTTTTTGGGGTTCATCTTTAGAATCCTGTAAGGTAATCCCAAAAAGGAACTACCATGGGGCCTATGGGTAAACCCTAAACCCCGAACCCTAAATCCTAAACCCCCTAGACCCTAAGCCGACCCCCGGGCCTGGGTCCCTCGGATATTTCGGTTTAGGGTTTAGCAGGTAGGCTTTAGGGTTCAGGGTCTAGAAGCGTTGCTGCTCTGATTATTACTATGACTATGGCTGTTACTATTGCGGCTAGAGTTATCATACTAGCTATTGACCCGACACTTAGTACTATTGTTACGGCGATTATGCTGATGATGACTACTCTAGATTTATTAATTGGCCGTATCTTTTTACTGGTTATAGTATGAGCAGTGTTGTTGTTTCTGCGGTTTATGGTTGAACCCGAAACCCTAAACCCTAAGCCCTAAACCCTAAACCCTAACCACTAAACCCTAAGCCCTTTCGTTACAAGCCATGGACTTCGTGCTGCCTCTGCCGAACCTGGAGGAAGCAGATCTAGGGTCAGAGGGCTTGGGAGCTTAATATACAAGAGTGGAGACTCAGTGATGCGATTGCTGAGGGTTCCTTATATTAACTATGTGTTATGTATTTGACTCAAATGTAAGTATTCTAATTATTATAAGGCCCCTATGCTGTGTTTTTGTTTTTTCTTTCGGGGCTCCGTACCAAGACTTAGGAATAGAAACAGTGGCACACTTACTGTTCGGGCGATACGGGGAGCCTGGATGCCTTGATCTTAAGATCCGATAGTCTGTTCTCCATGCGGGTAGAGGGCTTATGTGAATGCATGTGTGTGTGTATATACATAGAGATATACACAACCATGGAGCAGTTGATTGATGTCCTGATTTTCTGCCGCTGGCATATTAGCTTCTTGTGGTCTCCATATATCTATACCATGCTCGACTCACACACCGATTCTAACCATTGTGGCGCTCAGATGCGCTCAGCCTGGCAGGAGGTGAGGCAGACAGCACGGCGCCTACTTTGCCCACAGCAAACACAGGCCGGGGCATCTGTCCATGACACGCCCTTGCAGCCAGACAGTGTCACGGTTAGTGTTTAGGGGGCAGAGTTCAGGGTTTCGTTAAAGGGCTGCGTCCGGAACATGCTACATCGGAGGATTCTCTTTGCATTCGTTGTGATAGGGGGTCGTGCGTGACTGTCTTAGTGATCAGTATAATGAACCCCGACCCCTGGACGTCCAAGATCCAAGCCCTTAGATCCCCAAACAGGCCCTAAACCCAAGTCTAGAATTAAAAGACTCTGCCGAGCACAGGTCCCCCAAACTGGCGGTACACCTTTCCAAAAACACCCCATTCTGATTATGAACCACGGGCCCCATAGTAGTTCCTTCTTGGGGTTCATGTTTAGAATCCTATAAGGTAATCCCAAAAAGGAACTACTATGGGGCCTATGGGTGGCCCTATGTAAATGAGATCCTTGGGTCAGGCTATCCCCTGGCACGTCCGAGTTGACGATGCCTGGTTTGCAACTCGGACAAAAATTTGCGCGCATCCAATACGCACGTTTCTGGTTCTGATTTTATTTGGTCCAGGGTTTAGGAGCCCGGCTTTGCGGGAGGTCGAATTTCCGGGGGTTTTAGGGTTTCAAGCATTCTCCGCCGGCTTTTGGGGATTTAGGGTTCCTTTGTGTCTCCGAAAACCCAGGAGTGGGTGCCAGTACTGGCGCTGCGCTGGAGCCAAGATGACATCGACAGTCGGATGATCTTCCGGCATGATGAAATGAAGTGCCGTTCAGTTTATGCCTCCTGGACCGAACCCTGAAAAGTTACGGGGCTTAAGGGTTTAAGGCTGAGGTTTAGGGTTATTAACCCTGAATCTAAATCCTGGGCTCTGGGCTCCTGAGAGAGCAACCCCTGGCATTCCGAGGCTTCAGCCCCACTTCCCCAAAGCCGTTCGATAAGGGCTCTGCAAGGGTTCGGGGTTTGGGGTTATGGGTTTAGGGTTATGGGTTGTATATGGCTTACTTCAAAGCCCTATAAAACCGAAGCCAGACCGACGTCCCGACCAAATCCCAGGAAACCTTGGACGAGCCGTGGTTGCATCGGGCTTCTACTTTTTTGTTGTACGTTGCATGTTGCCTTTGGATGGGGCTGTCGGGTGCAGGATACAGGATTTCAGGCTTTCGGCCTTGAGGGTCTGGGGTTTCGGGGTTATGGCGCAGGGTTTGGGGGGTTTGGGTTTCGGGATTTTAAGATTTTTTTACATATGGGGGTGGCGTTCTGGCATCAACGGCTTGGTTGGTAGGTTTCCTGAGGCGATGCGGCACGGTCATTGCGCGGAGCGCAAGGCTCTAGATGGCTCTAGATAACAGGCCCTCATTTTCCGTGATCATAGAATGGCCATACCAGAACCAAAACGTTCACCCTTTGCTGCTCTGCTTGTACGCTTTCATATTCCTGGTTGCACTAAGCGCGGAATGAACTGCTATCCAGTGGAATACAGAGCCCTTTTCACATTCACTCTCCTCCATGTGCACCTGGCTTGTTGTACTTTTTCTTGTTAATTACATGTTGTTAGGTTGGCGGTATAGGCAGAGGAGCTTCAATATTGCGTGTACGGAAATATCAGATCGGAGTCCTACAACCATACTGAGTACCCTCAGGCCTTCCAAGCCCCAAACTTCTGAATTTTCCTCAAGGTCCTCGTGCCAGAAGCCCAACAGTTGCACTTAGGGCATTGGGCTTCAGAGCCCCGTGCCCTAAGACCCATGCCCCCCCGCCGAGGAGCTTGTGAGAGGCAAGATCTCGCCGGGCGACATCGCAAAGCTCGAGGCCACCCACTACTTGGCGGATCGGGGGATGTGAAGCCCTAGACCCCAGACCCTAAACGCCAAAGTTGAGGTACAAAGACGCACTAGAGGGCTTTGGGCGGATTTTGGTTGACTGGCCTGGGTCTTAAACGCCCTCGGCCCCAAAAATGGCAAGCGTGCCAAGCCCACTTTAGCGATTGGCACACTCACTAGGCTTACAGGGTGTTTTGAATGCGATTTTTGATGGACGGTTTGGCAGTTACAATTGTTTTTGGTAGAATAAACCACGGTCTTCACAGAAAGTGCCGATAGAGTTGCACAGGCTTGTGTCATTCTTCTAGTTGTTATGATTAAGTATGTCCGTCCGTGTGTCCCTACGGATTTCGCAGGCTCACGCTTTACGAGCTTCTTCATGTCTCAAGATCTCATTCACGGGACGCCAACGAATGCCTCACCCTGAGCCCGCAAGTTTAGGGGCCCCAGGGCAGTATAGGAGCCAGAAGATTCAGGCAGTAAGAGTATTTATCCTGAACCCTGTATAGGTCAGGCACATGATGATGCCTCCGTTTGTTGCTGGGGTTTGGTGGTCATCCTCATATGAAGCGGTTCTTCCCTACACCCCAAACCCGCAAAATCTTGCACCTGCGATGAGGTCGTCCGCCATCACGGCGAGCTGTACAGCCTCAGCAACCGCCGACTGACGGCGCTGCCGCTCCGATGAAGTTTCGGGGTTCTGTTGGGTTTGGGGTGTAGGATTCCCTAAACCCTAGAAGGCAAAGGTTTAGGGGAGGGTAGGGTTTCGGAGATGCCAGGGGAGTTTTGCAAACATACCGAAACTTTGCGACCTAGGTCACCGTTTGGGACTTGTCGGGTTTAGGATCGAGCCCCAAACCCTCGTTCCTGAACCCGGAATCCAGACCCTAAGTATGTAGCAGCCTAAATTACGACTACGATTCCATAAGGTTCTTTAAGGATACGTCATCATACGAAAATGTGCCACAAAACCCCATTCTAAGTATGAAGGCCCCTACATTAGGGCACACCGTCCACGGCTGAGGCTGACCTACCAGATCCTTAGGCGGAGCGAGGTCGTCTACGCGAGGTGCGTGATTAGCCTCTTGGCTGGGTCATTGCATGACAAATCTAAGGGCTTTAGGAGGGACCCTTAATAGGGGCCCTTGCAGGTTATTGGGGTTAACATGGAGACTACCTATAGTCCTTAGAACAAAGACTGATGACAGCGGAGCTTGGATTATCGGATTATCGCTAACCGGTAAACTCCTCAATGCGAGTCCTCAATGGGGCTTGTAAGTTCTTTGCCTCTAGCCAGAGGCTACCTAGGGCGATGCAATGGCTTCAAGCTCAACCGTCTACTCCTTAACTACTACAATTCCATTGCCTACCCTCATAAATGATCTTCCGGGATGGTTTTTGTAAGTTCTGGCTTTGGGGCAGAAGGTCTTGTTATCCCATGCCAGATCCTGGAAATCTTCCGACCAAAGAGATACGTTCTCAGACCGGTTCCGCCCGACTCCCTTCTTAAAGCCCAGAATATAAGGCTCCCAACTGGAAAGCCCTGTCCTAAACATTGAGCTTATATATATATATATATTTATTTATTTGTTTATTTATTAATTAATTAATTAATTTATTTATTTATAAAGACTCAACTCTGCAAGGGGAGGGGCCAAATGAGCGATGGACGAGGCCATTGCCCCTGTGAAGCAGGTTTTTCATTGGAGTCCTGATCGGAGTGCATGAAGCAGTTTCATGAAACGGTATTCTCTAGCTGCTTGGTGTCCTTTCATTTTGTGCTTGTTTTGCTCGGGGTTGGGGCTGTCTTGCTGCTGCGGATCAGAGTGCTTTGGATCCCTACAGAGTGTCTTTGAGTTTTCAGACTCTCAAAGGAGCTTTGGTGACTGCTTGGAGCCTACGCCAACCTGTTTGCAGAGCAGGTTTGATGTAATTTAGGGGTGTAAATAATCACCTATACCATTTTTCAAGTTCCTTAATTAAGTTACGGTATAATACATCGCAAAACCATATTCTAATTCTTCATGCCCCTACATTAGTTATTTACTTCATTGAAGGCCAAAGGAGGTCTTTAGTATTGGGTATTGGGTAGAAGGCCTCATGAGGTGTCACAAAGGAAATACTACCTGTGCCTGTGCCTTCCGGGTTTGGAGCCCACGTCCCGGGGAGCTCTGCCTATCATAAGTCCCAGAGAGCCGAATACCCCTTCGTGAAGGAGTATACCTTAAATCACAAATGTTAAGTTAAGCCCCCTACTATAATTGAAGCTGAATAATGTAAGCTGGATTCCTTAATTCATGGCTATTTTGGGCTCTCAGGGGTTTTCCTAGAAGGCGCTGGACTCTGGCCGAAGTCAGCGCTCCGGTTGGCTTGGGCCTTGTTTGACAAATCCTGCAACGCCAAGCCTTCCCCACGTTGGTTGTCCCTAATGGTAGGGGGCTTAAGAATTGGAATAGGGTTTTGGGGGTTCCTTATTTTAATTAATTATAGTATAGTGGGCCCCAAAGCCCAATTCTAGTTATTAAGGCCCCCGCATTACACCCAAGAGGCTGGAGCTTAACGCCGAAAAGGATTTTCCACAAAACCAGGACTTGGGGCTCGGTTGTAACTATGTAGGCACGATAGCAGTTCAGTCAGTGATGTTACTTTCCAATTATTCAGGCACCGTGGCTTTAAGGTTTTGGGTCTTGCGGCCTGCATCCGTAGACTATGACGCAGGTCGTTCTCAACGCGCTCCTCCGGCCTGGACATGTATCCGAATCCCAGGTTCTACCAAGCACAGGCAGCTGAGCGCTGTGAAGGGTTTGAGGCTTTGTTCTTGTTGGGATGTTACTCTTCCCATGTGATGCTCAAGTGTTAACGCCAGGGGCCCGGTACCGTAGAAAACCCAGAAACCCCAACCACATAACCCTGAACTACTAAGCCCCTAATCTCTGAACTGTAAACCCCGAAACCCTAAACGCTAACTTCAAAAAAGGCAACACCGTGATCCCATACCCTGGAATCCCCAACTCGGAATCCGTGGTTCCTGAAGCCTCGGACCCTCGACACGAATTTCCAAGTGCCCCTCATCGTTTAAGGATGTCTCGACTTAAAGCAGGGGCCTTAATAATTGGAATGGGGGCTCGGGCTCCTTTTATAGTACAACTATAAATAAGGAACCCTGAGGAGTAATGTGGGTAATCATTAGGCCCCCCCTGAACCCTAAGCCCAGTACGCTAAACCCTGTACACTAAAGTCTTACACCCCAAAAACCGCAAACCCAGCCTTCAGGGTTCAGCGTTTGGATCTGCAGTGGGGGGGGGGTTCGGCGACTGCTGCAATGTGAGGGGCCTTATAATTAGAATTAGAATAGGGTTTTGGGGTTCCTTTAAGGGTTCCTTCAAGGGTTCTATATTGGCTACTATAAGGGTTTAGGGGGTTTAAGTCCATGATGTTTTGAGGATTTGCAGTTCTTTCTGCTCAGGGTTTAGGGTCGGTGCTTGGGCTTCAGGGCTGCGTGTTACTGGGTGTTGGGGTGGGGCTCAGGCTCTAGAGTTCTAAGGCAGGCCTTATAATGTAGGGGCCGAAATAATTACCTATACCATTTTGGGGGGTTCCTTATTATAGTTATACTTGTAGAATGATTTACCCCCCAAAACCCTTATCTAATTGTTAAGGCCCCTATAAACCCTAAACCCTTGTAGTAGCCAATATAGAACCCTTAAAGGAACCCCAAAACCCTATTCCAATTATTAAGGCCCCTAAACCCTAAACCCTAAACCCAAACCCTAAACCCTAAACCCCTACATTGCAGCATGGCCTTCGGCCCCAAGGCCTTAGATGATGAGTCCTCAGAGCCGGGTCCTGGGGTCTTAAAACGAGAGCTCCCTGACCGCGCATCGGTTTAGGGTTTAGGGTTTAGGGTTTAGGGGTTTAGGGGTTTGGGGGTTTAGGGGTTTAGGGTTTAGGGGTTTAGGGGTTTAGGGGTTTAGGGTTTAGGTTCTCCGACGCTAGGCTCAATGTATCTAGTCCTAGTATCCTGAATAAAGTCCTTGGAGCCGTGTTCAGGCCGAGCACTGCGGCGGCCCGCTCTTTCACCCCAGCCAGGCTGCTTTGGAAAGGCGCGCGGGGGTTCGTAATCCAGGATCCAAGAACCTCTTGGGTTTTAGGGTTTACAGGGGTTTAGGGCTGAGGCCCCTGGCCCGTATTTCACCTTTGGATTGGGGGGATCTTCAAGTTAGGGTCCCTTACTGGGGACTTCGGGGTTAGATGGGTATCTTCCTTAAAGTTAGGGCCCCCGGCCCCTTCTTTACGGCTTCGGGTTTTATGGGGGCTTGAAGTTTGGGTCCCTTATCCAGGGCCTGGGGTTAAGATGAGGATCCTACTGTTTAGGGTTCTATGTTGGGGCCATTGGGGCGCCCCATGTTCGGAAACTCCCAGAGAGTCCATGGGTCGCAAGAATGAATAACATTACCGGCTTCATATCCCCAGTAGAACTTTGATAATGCTACCACCCTATGCAATCTATCTCGGCCCCTATGTTACCCCTTAAGCCCTGAACCCCGGACAAAAAATTCAACCCCCGAAAGGGAGTCGAGTAAAGGGACCTGAACAACTAGGGATACTCTTCTTTAAAGCTCGGAGTCTTGCCGTATGATATTTTTCTACATGTAACATATTTGAAAATCAGCAGAGATCGGCTGATAAGGGGCCAAAAAGCCCTACAACTCAAGCAGCGTCGGAGGAACCCTAAAATCCTGTTGCCATCCGTGCGACATATCTGCTGCCTGGCCTAACCTCAACCCTAGCCCCCCAACAAAACTGATACATAGATCGAACCCTGAACCTCCATCATGCCTTCTGCTCCAAATCCTACAGTCCCCTAAGTCCTAAATCGTAAAGAGGTCCGGTTGGACAAAAAACCCTCCCCCAAAGCTAACACTAGACTAGACCCTTGACTGCAGCCCTCCAACTCGAGCCCCTAAACTCCCAAGCCCTCGACGCTGACCATGACTTTCGCCACCAATAAACGGAATTACATCCGTGTTACATGTGTCTATACTATCTATCTATCTATCTATCTATCTATCTATCTATATATATATATATGTATGTTTAGCTGTTGCCTCGACATCTACAAACAGGGGAGCGGTCGACCACAGAATAAAGAAGGGTCTGATAGTCTGGGAGCTCGCATCATGGGGTCGGAGCAGGCCCCTTTCAGCTGTCGCATGCCTTCTGGGGGCGGGCTCGGGCTGGGATAATACACAGGTCAGCTCAGGCCCTTTTCAGTCTTCTCAGGTTTTGGGTCTGTAGGCGTGTGTATGTGTGTGTAGGTGTGTAGTGTGTAGTGTAGTGTGTAGTGTGTGTGTGTGTGTGCGTGCGCAACTCCAGTTTCGAAGGATGTAGGACGTACTAGCCTTAAACAGCAGATGATGGAGCAGGCCTGTGGAACTCCATCTAACAAAGCTGTCCACAGTGTCGCCTGGTGACGTACCTGCATCTGACATGGCAATCAGGCTAAGCCACAAACCTGGCAAGCCGAAGATGTAATCAACTAGTACAAACACACCCATCTAAGTAAGGATGACTGGTCTGCAAGAGTGTGAGTGTGTGTGTGTGTGTGTGTTTCTGTGTGTGTGTGTGTGTGTGCGTGTGCTTGTGTGCGTATGTCGCTGTGGCGACTATGGATGGGACGCCCAACGGCGGATACAAGGAGCTACATTGCCTCAGACTTCGGAGAGGTCCTCACATATTTCCGCAGCCAAACACCCTGTTCCCGCACATGCATGCTGTCAGTCGGCTGATTAGGGTTGGAGAGAACCTGGACGGGTCGCCCCAACGGGGGGGTGGAGTTCACTCCCCAAACCCCCAGCAAACAAGCCATCAAGCAAGCTGCTTCGCTAAAAAGGGTGGCGCAAGCTGTTGGATGCACATGGTTGGCACAGACCTTTTTCAATATGTGCCCTTTAGAGGTCTTATCGCTGCAGTGCCGAAAGGGTCGGCGCGACCCTCTTCATGTTAAGGCATCCGTGGCGCAGACCGTGCTAAAAAAGGTGTACCGACCCCTCAGATCTCGAGGGAACAGCTATCATGTGTGTACATATATATATATATATGTATACATGTATATTTATGTAGATGTATCTAAATGTATGTGTATGTACATATATATATATATGTATATGTATATGTGTGTGTGTGTATGTATGTATGTATGTATGTATGTATGTATGTATGTATGTATGTATGTATGTATGTATGTATGTAAGGCTCAGCAGCAGGGTGCCCCTGTTCTGGGTTTGGTGTGTTTTTCCGTGGT